ATGGTAATTAATATATAATAATTATTTACATTATATTTCATAGAGTATTTGTCAGTCATATTTTTAGACATTATTATAATTGTTATTTTATTAAGATTGAATATAGATAAGTATATATTWTATATTAAGTTTTAAAAAATTATGTTAAATAAAAAGTTAATTTTACATTCACCATTAATTGTCAAGGCTATATAAACAGCACWACAAATTTAGAAAATGTTACCATATATCATATTATGGAAAATATTTAATAAAGATATTTGGTGAAGATGTCTACATTTATTACTTATTGGGTTTCACCAGAAGAATAAAATCATTTTCATAATAGCATATAATTTGTAGTTAGTTTAATGAAACCAACTACATAATGTAGTCTACATTCACTTTTCTATCAGAAAAGATGCTGATGTCAAAAATCGGAGCATTTTTATTACCTCAAATGTTGATGACAGAATGAAGAACAATTACCATTGTAAATATAAYACAATCATCACTGTTCAGGATCTAAAAAAAGAAAATTAATTGAAAATAATTTCTTAAGTAATTTTTTTAGACTCCAACAGAATTATTTAATATTAATGGTAAAAATGAAACAAAGTTTTCTTGTCGAGTCAACTAAAAATAATAAAAAATAATTTAGTAAGGTTTTGAGGTTGTTTTTATCAAATATAAAATATAGAATTAAAATTAAATCTTATTATAATAACTATTTTAAAAACTAGTTAATACAATATTTATGAAAACCATATCAATTTTGATCCATTTCAAACTTGTTTTAGTTGACTTTTCAGACCTTTTATTACATAACTATTCTCGAACGCAAAGTAAAGAATCAAATTTAACAGTTAAAGTAAATAACATCCGAAATATCCTTACCGAATATGTTTTTAACATTTAGTTATTAGCACTTTAGAAACTCCACCAACTGTACATGTTAATTAATTTATTATAGGTAATAGGTACCTATACTTACATTATTCATTTAATATTTTTATTAACTATTAATATCTTGGATATTACATCCAAATTAGTGTCAATTCAACAAAACAATATCACGATTCACTTTTGATATACGCGGACCAAGATTTGAGATATTAAATTGTATCTTAAGGTAAACTATTTGAAATTGTGCTATAGACCTACAACGCTTATAATGCTAGTGGCAATTCTCAGATAGGTACTTAATTCTAATACACTAGTCGAGTAGGTACTTGGGTTTGGGTTCCTAATATTTTTTGGTAAGTAGGTATTACGGTGTAATACTCTATACTAACTTTTTATATTTTCCATTTTAATTTTTAACAAACTTCTCTCTAAAATCTATATAAATTTAAACCAAATAAGGTGATGTGGTCAATAATGTCTTTTTACAGTTTTTTTTTTTTGATTAATTAACCCGTGACTACATAGGAAATAGAGTGGTTTTTTTAACTCTGAGGGAAGGTACGATTGATTTGAAAACGTGTATATGTGTCAAGGTTTTTGCCACTAACAACCCGTTAGGTACCCATCCGGGGACTAGTGAAATCGGGGCGGTGCGTACACTCAATCACGGTGTTGCGTGAATGATTGCAGCAACCACGCCGCGCCAAGTCATTTTTTTCAATTTTATGTTGGTAGTTTTCTCAATATTGTCCGGACACCAAATAATGTAAATTATTTCATACAAAAAGCCAGACATATTATAATTTATTTAGGTATATTACAAATTGAAATTTATTTTTCTGTATTAGTAATATGGTATTTACTATTTCGAACAAATTCTAACTAAATTTCGCCAAAAATAACAAAACGATGATATGCATCATTTTAGATATAATTTTGTATAAACAACTTCAAAAACATTCTGTGGTTGTACAGGACTTGTTGTGCGGCCCCAGTCATSTTTCATGAGAATGGCCGACTATTACATGTATTCCTTTTATGATACGTTCAAAGATCTATTACGGTGCGTCAGTGCAAAGAACAGGACGATAGGAGAACTGTGACMGAAGTGATTGTCACTCTATGGATGGTRACCCCGACCGCTGAGCCCTTCCCGGACAAACAGGGTATAATATATAGTATTTTAAATAGATTAAACATCTAAACGTATAGGCAACATTGCATTAAACAATACCCACTTTTACATTTTATATATGTTGCAGGCTTGCAGCCGTTGCAGGTATGCCTCACATATTATAAGTACCTATCTACTATATTATTTTATAATATAGAAGTTACGTAGGTATATATATTATATTGTTCACTCTCCGTCTCCAGTGGAGACTCTCCACTGTACTGTGCGTGTAGCCATTTAGTTTTTATATTGTCTTCATAAATCTATAATTAATTTAATGTTATTTGTTTRAAAGTGTTTTAGTTATGGAACACTGGAAAGGAAAAGTAGCGATAGTAACTGCCAACTGGTGCCAGTGCAGGAATCGGCAAAGCAATTGGTGTGAAGTTGGTGAACTCACGGTGTCCATGTTGTAGCGCTCGCTAGAGAAAAAGCTAAACTTAAGGTTATATTTTAAAAAATATGGCTATTTATTTTTAATATTTTTCAACTGTTATCGTAACAATATACGAGGACGACGAGTCTGTTTGTATAGAATTTTCAAATCTTATATATAAAAATAAAAAATAATTATAAATTTATATATCAAAATAAAATGTAAATTTTCGAGATTTTTACGAATTTCAAACGCTCAAAATAAAAAAAAGGCGGGTAAGTCGTGGA